GAGGCGGGCTGGACTCCGCTTTGTCCACGGTGAAAGTTGTTGTATTTCCTCAGCGACCAGCACAGATCAGCTCTAGGCATGATGAAGCTGATATAATCCTCTTTTGGAAGACCAAACAAAGTAGTTTCGCTTTCACAACGAAGCACACAGCGCCTTCACGACATGGCTGCAGCGTCAACAATACTACAGCGAGAATAAAAGTTACGCCTTCTTTCTTTGCGTGAACATTTGGGCGGCGTTATGCAAATCTTCCCACATCGTGATGTAGACATGTGGGGGCGTGTTAGAACGAGCCGTTTTAGGTAGGCGTGGTTGACTCTTAACTTTTATAAAGAATATCTCTTTGGTTTTGAGACTTTAGTCTTTGCAACTTTACAGATCTTCTTTATGCACCAAGAGCTTGTAACACTCCAAAGAGAAATGAAAAATTGAAATCGCATCATATGACCCCTTTAAGTGTTGCTTTTGATAAAACAAGCTCTTTTTCATCATTAAAAAAACATTTTTATCCATTTTATTGCATATGAATGATTGAACCCTTCTCTGTGGACACACTGTTTTAGACGTAGTGAGAGGACATTAACAAACACAGATTAGGTATAATAATGAGAAAATTAAATTGAAGGTGATAATTATGCTAAATACATTCTATTATTAATCCCTCATGACATTTATAATTGAAAATATTTTTATTTTTAAACCTAATAGCAGTTACCCTTGCTGGGCTTTTTTGTCCCATGTCTCAAGAATGACTGAGCTACTGATATCCTAACTGACGTTTTATAATATACCCGTTTTATTTTGTAAAACTTTTTTTTTTTAAGAAAAAAAAGTCCATTGCTGAATATTTTAGTAGGCTACTTTTACATAGGCTATCACTTTTCTCATCAAAATAAAAGAAGACAGAGGTGATAAGAAGAAACTATCGTGATAAATATATACAGCAGAATTAGTTGCAATAATGATTGCATTACAATGGGCAGAAGATGTTAGACCAGATAGAGTTGTATGTTCAGTCTCTATGGCAACAGTTAACAGTATTATATCAAATCAGACCATTAGAGAAGGCATTTTAAATTATATATATTTAGAGAAATATATATATGTGTCACAATCTCTATCTGGTGTGCCTATGAGCTTCGGCACTCCATTACAGACTCTTGCCACTTTATCCAGGACTCCATTCCCCATAATCCTTTGCCTGGACTCATTAACACTGATTGCATTCACCTGTGTCTTGTTACCTCATCTGTCTCACCCTATTTAAAGCCTGATTTCTCTTTCAAATTGCTCAGTATTGTTTAGTATTTGTTTTAGCCCTAGTTCCTGTGTTTTCTGTGTTCCTTGTTTTCTTGCCTGGCCTTGCCTTGCCTTGCCTTGTTTTTTGACCCTGGACTGTTATCTTGTTTCTGATTTTTTGATGCCTGCCCTGACCATTGCTTGTTTCTTGGATTACTCTTTTGTCTGCCCTGGATTATACCTGTTTGTTGCTGTTTGACCCTGCCTGTTTTGACCACTCTTGCAATAAAGCCTGTATTTGGATCCTCAACTGCATTGTCACGTCCCCATGTTACAGAATACTGAGCCAAACCCGGACCCAGCAGCTTTATCGAGTGTTCCAGGCTAATTATGGATCCAGCGAAGGAAATCCTTTTCCTGCGACAAGGGTCCAGCACTATCGAGGAGTACACTGGTCAGTTCTGTGCTTTGTCTAACTGTTTGAACTGGAAGGATGCCGTGTTTGAAGACTTGTACTGTTTTGGCTTAAATGATCCTTTACATTTACATTTAGTCATTTTGCCGACGCTTTTATCCAAAGCGACTTACAATTGGGGAATACATAAAGCGATTCTTCTTAAAGAGGCAAACAGACACAGGAAGTGCTTGAAATACCAAGTTTTAGGCATTGTTCAAATAAGTACAAGCTAGAAAAGGGAAGGAATGAATAAAGAGATAACTTTTTTTTTTTTTTTTTTTAAGATCCTTTAAGATCATTCATGCACACTGGATATAATGAATTGACTTTAGAACAGTACACAGACTATACACTTTTGCTAAGTGGTTCCCCCTTCACGGTATAGGGGCTGTCGAGAAAGACGGTACCCTTAAACATCTTTTGGGAGGGGAGGAGGCTTTTACTATGGTCAGGGAGCTCTGGTGGCCACGGAGCTTGGCCAACCATGGTCTTCAGCAAGCCCCACGCTGGTGATGGCCAGTACAGTGTTATCATTCCCCATGCCAGAGTCTTGTCCTCTCATGGCTGTGCCCTGTGCCTCAAGGTCGATTCCAAGGTGTCCGAGAGATGTTGGCCAGAGCAGCGGGCATCCCAAGGGCCTCAGCACTAGTCATCACCGAGACTGTTCCCCTGGACTCAGTGCTCCCTGTAATGGCAGTCGCCATTCTATGTGTTTGGGCCACACACACCACCGCAGTTTCCCCAGAGGTGGCAGCCTCCGCTGCAGAACCTCCCGAGGCGGTGGTGTCTGCTTCAGTCCTCGAATCAGCACGAGAGCCCGCTCCGGTCCTTGAGTCCACTCCAGTTCCCTCGTCATGTCCGGTTGTGCCGTTCCCTGTTCCAATGACTCTAATGAATACAGCTCCTCCCGAGGTGGCGGTTTGTGCCGCAGAACCTCCCGAAGCGGTGGCGTCTGCTCCAGCTCCTCCAGAGATGGCAGTTTCTGCTGCAGAACTTCCAGAGGCAACGGCGTCTGCCTTTGAACTCTCTGCCAGTCCAGCCACAGCCAATGAGGCCACTGTAAACCCTCTGATGGTCCTGTCATGGCCATAGAGGCTGTCTGTGAACTCTCTGCCTGCCCAGCCACGGCCAAGGAGGCCAATGAACTCTCTGCTTGTCCTATTACTGCCGCAGAGGCCATTGTTAACCTCTCTATGCTCTATTCCAGTCCAGCCTGATCCCCGTGGTGGTTCCCTGCACCATCAGCTCCACCCTGGTGGTCATCTGCTCCGCCGTGGGGATCTTTGGTCCCATCTGCTCTGCTGTGGTGGTCGTCTGCGCCACCGTGGGGATCTTCGGTCCCATCTGCTCTGCTGTGGTGGTCGTCTGCGCCACCGTGGGGATCTTCGGTCCCATCTGCTCTGCTGTGGTGGTCGTCTGCGCCACCGTGGGGATCTTCGGTCCCATCTGCTCTGCTGTGGTGGTCGTCTGCGCCACCGTGGGGATCTTCGGTCCCATCTGCTCTGCTGTGGTGGTCGTCTGCGCCACCGTGGGGATCTTCGGTCCCATCTGCTCTGCTGTGGTGGTCGTCTGCGCCACCGTGGGGATCTTCGGTCCCATCTGCTCTGCTGTGGTGGTCATCTGCTCCGCCGTGGGGATCTTCGGTCCCATCTGCTCTGCTGTGGTGGTCATCTGCTCCGCCGTGGGGATCTTCGGTCCCATCTGCTTTGCTGTGGTGGTCGTCTGCGCCACTGTGGGGATCTTCGGTCCCGTCTGCTCTGCTGTGGTGGTCATCTGCTCCGCCGTGGGGATCTTCGGTCCCATCTGCTCTGCTGTGGTGGTCGTCTGCTCCGCCGTGGGGATCTTCAGTCCTGTCTGCTCTGCCCTGGTGGTCTTCTGCCGGCTCCTCCCTGGCACTCTACTCTGTTTTGACTTCCTGCTCC